AAGGGAAGAAAATGGTCGGTGAAGACCGCATATATGAACGAACGGATACAAGCAGGAGACTGCCACTTCACAATCACTGACGATGTCACCTCGGCTGGTGATGAAACGCTTGCAAACGAAGTGCCAAGCTCGGCGAACAGGCGATATATATGTATATATGTATTCACCAAACTCGTGCAACATCCTGATTTTCTTCGCATTGGTTCTTCTCAATGCTTAGTTTTTCCAGCCTCAATCACGGGATTGAATATGATATTGTCCCACATCAGACGCAACATATCTGATATAATGCCCACTTATGGCGTCGCTTCTATTAGTCACAGACCATTAAAATGTACCATCTCGTGATTTTGACTATGGTTGCTCGTGCATCATTGATAAAATAATAGTCACGGTAGAAAACATATCTAGAGTTTGTTGATTAAAATGACTCCTAGACTTTATAGAGCTATTTACTTCCTTCCCGTCCACGTTCCATTTACTCTTCTTCATTTTTGAGCACTGGAGGCAGTCGCTTTAGCATGGAATCTATCAAGTTGACACAATTTGCAAGTTTGCTCTAGTACACCCCGTACCCTAACCATTAACAACCACTGTCAAGACAGCCAACTTAGCCGTGTTTATGATACTGGAAAATGCTTGCCATTAAATTAAAATCCAAGCTGCTGCTCGAAAATTGAATGAATTTGACATTGAACTTGACCCATCCAGAGACCGCATAAATGCAAAAAAAATAATATTTAATTAGGTTTAACCGGATTTTACTACCAAGCTCGAATGAGAAGATACATCAACCTTTATCTGTGAAAAATATGACTTCCGTGAGTGCATTTAAAGAGTAGCAATTATCGAAAACCTCCCTTATCAGTGCACAACATTTTGCCGATATCCAGCTTGGTGTGTGGAGGAGACAAATAACAAGGCACTCAGTCATCACCTCCCTTTCAACTCGTTAGGCAAGATAAATATTTGACAGATAAAATGAAATTCATTAGAATACTAGCTCAGTAGATCGGCTTTCACCGCATGCCGAATTACTCGTTGTATATACATATATATATATATATATCAACCAGAGAAATAAACTAGGAAAGCATTGACTGATTATTGATAATCGTTTTCCGATTCAAGTAAATAATTGCATGAGGAGCAGCTGAATAACGGATGTTTCTTTACAAAATCAGCAGTAAAACTGTACGAAACAAACTCACATCTGCGTCAAAGACAAGAATCACTTTCGATCGAGTCTCATTGAAATCTGTAAGCTAGTCCAATTTTTCATAGGTATTGGTCACTGTGAATGATATTCCGTTTTAGTTGGTTGTGGGTTTCATCCCGAGGCGAATATGTGAATACATTTCACGAGTGAGACGGCTGAAATTTGTGATCACTCGTGACGATATTATACTCTTTGCCAACATTTGACTCTGCTTGTCCATAGTTATTTCACCAATTTGGGGGGGGGGGATTGAACACCGACGGCGGCATCCATGCGGGGGTACAAATCCCACCGAGGCTACTGAACTTTTCCTGGGACACATTCTTATCCAAAATCTCCGTGTAAATTTGATCACAGTATTTGGATTGCTACAGGCAAATCCTAGGTTAAACTCATCATTCTCGCCAAAGCGGTATGTCATTTCAACATCACCCAAATCTACAGAAATTGATCGCACTCTTGAAACACTCTGACTTTTGTCAGATCTCTTTCTCCCAACTCTCGCATTGTATTTTTATTTGTATAACTTGTGTAAACTTATATGCCTACACTTCAGTTCAACATGTACATTGGTCGTCACGTAGAATAAAATATAAAGTTTTATATAACATGTGAAGTGAAGAATTTCGCCGAAGATTGTTACAGGTACAAAAGTTCTGACGTAATTCCCTTGCGACCTGTTCCTTACAGGTGAGGAGACGGGTGCGCCAGGGTACAGAGGAATTTGTATAAATGTTAATTTGAGGGGTAGATACCGGAATGAGGAGCGTGTGAACGGATGGGAACGACAAGATGATGTATCACGATGCAGTGGATGGAGGGGTTGTCTAGAATCTTATTGGCAAATTTAACACAAGAGCTGTGACCGTTAATGAATGCTGTAATTAATTAGTTGACTGGGATTGATGATGCGCGACTGATTATGATCAAGTCACAGCGATTGGTTTCGAACTCTTATTTTAAAAGGAGAGCAGTAGAGTAGAATGTGCAAAACGCATTGGTGAACGAAAGAGGACAAAACTGACTGTAGGATTCGTAATTTCCTGAGTTTGCGTCACCGAAAAGAGAAGTGTCTCAGCTTTCCCATTCAGTTGTAAATATATGTGGACTATCTGAGATTACTGTCGATGGTGGGTGACACCCAGGCAATTTTACTAAGATCATTCTGGACACAGATTTAGAATTAAGGGTGGCAGAGTCCGTAGGAAATAAAGAGAGCGAGAAATGGAAGATAGACTCTAGGCACTTAGATGTGTAAAGCCTGAGATCAGATTGGTTGGAAAACTGTTATAAGTGGGATAGATTTTCGGCGAAATAATAATCGAACTACAAGGTAGATTAAATTGTCTGACACAAAACAATGTCATCTGTATCCTCTTGGATGTGTGCAGAGGCTACAACCGAGAGATCACTAATGAAAGCAGATATATATGGAGATACAACAACACCTTGAAGCATAAAAGAATTAGTAACAAGAGGTTTTGATGTATTCGTTCCCAATTCTATGAATTACGCCTTCTCCGTAAAATAGTCAGAGAGCCATGAGAGTCCCTGTCTTGGATTCCCAAACGACTCATGTCTGTAATGAAGGAATGATTGAGAATCGGAGTCAAACATGGACGAATAGTCAAGAGAAACACAACAGAAAGACTTGAACGAATTGTTCAGTGACTTATTGAAAAAGGGATTAGAGTGGATACGGCGTCCAGTGTACATCTTTTGCGTCCATATGCAAACTGGAGGGAGATGGTGATCACGGATTGCAATCGATGCATATGTCCTTTTAGAGCCGCAGAGGTTAGCGAGATTAGACGAAACTGTTTCGCAAGAACATTTGGGGATGACGATTTGGGGATTGGAATAATGATGACTTGACCCCAAGACACAGAGGTCGACCGGGAAAACAGGGATGCGAAGTGCGGGAAAAAGACCATCAGGGCCTGCAGCTAAGGATGCTTTGGAGAATCGGAAATATCTTGAGATTTGATCATCGGCAAAAGGCACTGGATTGGACTCATTGCACGGGAAGAAGGGAATCTGGCTATCGCTTGACGGGCGAATAAAAGCGGTATTGATATTGTTGCCTTGCCATCAAAGCGTGGTGTTCTTTGTTCGCAGAATTTGGGCGGCAAATATTGCATTCAGATGCACTAACTCAGATCTGACTAAGTCCGACTAGGCCTTTACAACTGATGCATGATGGGATTTGTTACTTCCTTTGTACACAAATCCAGCACGGCTCAGATCCTAATGCAGGCAAATAGCAGGGTGCTTAATATTCTCTGAACAAAGCCAGAACAGTGTACACAAAAAAGCGGGCTGAAACACACATGAGCTAAAGTGACCCACGTTGTGCATGGGCGCTGTAATGATGCGAATAGTTGTCATTGGTTACGCAACCCTGTTGGTTCTAAAAATGGGAACTATATGCAGATTTTACCGTCATTTCATCCTCCTTCTCCTCTTGCTGACGATGAGTCCCCATGGGAATGACTGACTCCTACTCAAGCACGCTGTCCTTATCTTTCTGTGTACATGTGTTTGTAACACAGTGAAAAGCGAGTACGCAAAACAGCCGTTCATCTGCAATTTTTGTGCTAACACCTTCTCACTGATCTTAGTAATTGGTCTATTGATTCGAACCAGGGTCATACAAGTTTTTACACAAAGTGACAATCAGACTTTGAATTCATTCGAGGTTTTATCAAAGGTTTATCAGGTCAATGGACATTGACCGAAATCAATTGGTTCGCATGGTGAGTTGCATAGCACAGTGCGTAGGTGTCCTCGCGTAACTGTTAGCACAAACACACACAGGAATTCTATGGAATATACCAGCCCCCCCCCCCCGGACTATCCGTCATTTATTAACGAAAATGCACACACACACACACAGCTAAAGAGGCAGAGTGTGGCACATAAGTCGAGAGAAATAAGAATACCTCAAATTTGTGCACAGCTTACCAAACGAATTACAAAAGAGGAATTACTTTGCTCTTTCACATATTCAGCACAATTATGCATCAAATTGAGTCTGGTGAGTTGCACAGTGAATTGACGGAGAAGGAACAGGAGATACGAAAACGTGATCTACCCAGTCCCCATATGACGACCGTGCATCCGGCTCCAACAAAAATCGATCCGGTTGATCTGGAACCGGATGACCACGGAGCTTGTGGTTACATTGTGCTCATACTGGCTGTGATATTCTACATTTTATTGTTTCCCATTCTGGTCTTTTTCTCGTTCCGAGTAATCCAGTCGTATGAGCGTGGTGTACGGCTCCGGCTGGGAAAACTACGCAAACACAAGGGATCAACTGTCATGGGCTCGGGTATCCAGTTTGTTTTACCCTGCATCGATGTGGTTCAAAAGGTGGATATGCGCACTATCTCTCAATCGATTCCTCCACAAGAGGTTCTGACAAAAGACTCGGTCACAGTGACCGTGGATGCGATTGTCTATATGCGCGTTGTGGAACCGGCCAGTGCAATTTTGCGGGTGGAAAATTGGCGACTGTCCACTCAAATGCTGGCGGTGAGCACTTTACGTAGTGTGTTGGGAAACTACGATTTGTCTTCTCTGTTGACTTGTCGTGCCCAAATCGATTCGTATCTCAGACAACATTTGGATGAAGCAACTCATGAATGGGGGATAAAGGTGAGTTGCTAGGACTTTTTTGTACTTTTGAATGGAGTCATCTATGATTTGGAATGGGAGGAATTGTACAACTGTGAATTGCTCTGAAGAGAATTTATGAAGATATGTCGTCAAACCATCAGAGATAACCAGAAGTAGATGGTATGTGTTCTCAGACTGATTTTCTCCCACCTCACTACGATCAATATGAACCAATCAGTTCAAACATTATGACAAGCCTCCAGCCAATTAAATTTTAAATTAACTATTTTTTAGTTCATTTCTCATCGATAGACTTTTTATTGATTGAAAATATTGACTGTTGAGATTCTATAACAATATCTAATTGCTATCTTAATCGTAACACTATTTTTACGAAAATGGCAAAGAAAATGCACTCATTATAAAATAAATATTATTAAGGTACCTTACAAAATAGGGCAGGATTGACATTCGATATACTGCTTGTATTCCCAATTGGTGCATGTCAAAATACAACTATTGTGCTGTGTGCGGCCAAAGTCCGAATGACCATTGTTGCATAACTGGTCACATGACGGGAGATTCTTCCCAGGTATGAAACTGAACAAAGTATAACAAGCAGTGCCCCCATGCTGTGTGTCGGTGTCTGTGTGTTTGGATTTAGGCAAAAGGATAAAATGTATTAGTCGAAGACCGGACAAGGAGGCAGGAAAGAATGAGCGAAAACACAAATTGTTGCATTACAGAACAAGAAACCTTTGGAGCTTTCATTTATGAGACCAGAAAACATGGAATATATATAGGGATTTTGATCCAACATGTGCAATACGAATCTATTTCTCCCAAAATTGAGTGTTCTGAGACTCATTTAAGGGAATGCGTACGGTAATACTTCACACCAGATACAACATATTTGTAAAAGTATTCATCCATGTTATTACTTCTACTGGTCGAATGCCTTATGAGAGTACAATTTCTCGGCTTCGATGACGATTGCTAGCGCATCAGTCGTGAGACAGAAAAAACCGTGAAATTGTAGTTGGGAATATATCTATCAATTCTTGCTTAAATCGTACTAGTTAGATCCCAACCTGGTCCCGGATTATGGTGAACTGTTAACGGAAACTGGAATAAATGACAGCGATCTATCAAACAGCATTTTTCAGCATTCTGAAGATTTCAATGATTTGTAATTGCTTGTGAAACGATAATTGGTGAAACCAAGAAATTGAATGCATCAGATTCATAGTCATTTTGACACCGTTCTGAGCAGTATTTTTGAGAGTAAAAATGGGTGGCAAGACTCACAATGTGTTTTTTTTAATTATTTCTCACTGTCTACACTATTTTCAGTGACGATCGGTTTTCTTGAATATTTGCAGCAAACTTTAGCGCAGTAGAAGGACACAACGAGTTTGGGAGACTAGGAATCTCTTTCTGTTCCACTGGATAATGTTGTGTTTCCGATTTGATCAACCAAAAACACTGAGTTTAAAAAAAATTCACTTTACAAAAGGTCTTGTTTGTTGACGTAAACGGACTTGTTTCAGAATTGGTTCTCCCCGATGTGGAATTCCGATTTTCAGGTTATAACCCAAATATAGTTGAATGCAGAAGGTATGCAACCCGAGTGGCATTACAGAAGCACACGTAAGCTACGCGTGTCGTGAATTTTCTTAAGTGATAAACTTTCCATATTCAGTCGTCTAATGTGAATAAAAATTCGAACCAAGACATTATCGAACCGATGCACTCTCGGATGCCCTGTTCTTTTATCAGATTTCCTATAACCACTCAATTTCCAAATAATTTTCATCACTATCTCAACAATTCAAGCAGTTACTGACTCTTGTCATTTAAACTCACTCGTGCCATTCCGGTTTTATCTCATGTCACTATCTGAGGTCGAACGAGTGGAGATCAAAGATGTATCTCTTCCACAAGAAATGCAACGAGCCATGGCAGCGGAGGCCCAGGCTACACGAGCAGCCAATGCCAAAGTGATCGCGGCCAAAGGTGAATTGGACTCGGCACAAATGCTTCAACAAGCTGCTCAAACAATGAGCAGTGCACCGGCAGCTTTACAATTGCGCTACTTACAAACATTGGCCACGATAGCGACCGAGCAGAATTCCACCATTATATTCCCCCTCCCGATCGAGTTGATGGCTGCGTTCACGTCAAAGTTAGCCGGATCTCACGGGCCAAGTAAGTGACCGGGCGAGCAAAGTGTTAGGATAAGAAAACCCAATCGAATCGTGGAAACAATTCGGATTCAAGTTTATTTATACGCACGTAATTGTCACTAAGAGAACTGGATCAAACATGACTGAGAGGCTGACAGACTGTGTTGTTCTGCACTTTTCTGACGATTAAAGCCTTCCGCACGTGATATGCCTTTTCACACAGAAATGACCGAAAAAGTTGTCTGATAAACAACTGTTTGTGAAGCAGCAGAATTATTTCATTCTGAATAATCCAACGGTCCTATGATAACTAACGACCACATCATTAACGTGCCGCTATCTTTGCTTCTGGGAACCCACACACTTTTTTCTCATATACATATGTTTCTGCCCGTTTAAGAATGAATTCACCAAAAAAGGCTGTTTTCCTACACTATGCACACTTATTGCACTGAGGTCTCAATAGGCAAATCAATGAGTCTGTCATTAACTGGACTCTTTGGTCTAATTATACAACTATCATAAAAATTAGTGATATGCTTAGAGAAATGTGAGTTGCTTTGTTTAATAACCAGTAATGAGGATAAGTTATTTTACTGTCTTTCATTCCTAACAACCAACTCTTCGCATTATTCACATTTATGTGTGATACACTAACTGATAATACATTAACCGTGTTCATGAGAAGAATATCAGCAAACGATGAGGTTATGAGCCTAACGGAACAAAAATATCCTCAATCTATATTCATTCCAGCAAGAGAGACGGAGAGAGAGGGACAGGAGAAACAGGTTCGTAACCGCAACTGATGCTCATGGGAAAAAAAACTAAACGGTACCCTGCTTAGAACACCTAGTTTGGTGCGAGGCTTTCGATTGGAGTTAACAAATAACCAACCGTGTCTCCCTTCGTTGCTGCTGTGCCAAATTGAACGGGCTGACTATGAAGACGAGGGAATTCGGCTCAGCCCTGGTATGAGCTGGTTGGCACAGCGGTAACACACACGCCTTCCATGCGTGATAGGTCCGGAGTTCAAGCCTGAACGGGGCGATGGATATACACTATTGACGAGCTCTAATAAGACTAGTTGACTGGAAAAGCTGAGGAATGTACGCGGTGTAGTTCGAAGGATGATCAGTTCCAACCAATGAATAAAATAAATTTCTTTATTGGTAACAAATGAGTTCAAATATAACTGTTCACACTCAATCCCGATAATCTGAACCAGGTTAATTGTGTCATTTGTCTAAATTTGAAGGGAAATGAATGACAAAAGCAACATTGAAAAACTACAATATTGCCAAAACACAATAGCTCCCTTTCAATTGTGCGAGGTGATTCTGAATGGGGCACGGTATCTTGCGTTCTGGTTAATTGAATACCGTCTACAAGTCATGTCCTGGACCTATTCTGGATTTCCACAGAGTTCACATATCAGTCATTTTTATTAGAAGGCTCTTTTTATTCACCGCAAAGATGATAGATCTTGTTCATCTACGAATAGATGGATGACTCGATAATGGGGAGTCCGTGAAGATAGATGACATTTGTCCACGAACAAAACGGAATCCGAACACTTTGTTTGAATTACAACGTGTCTGTGTAAAAGCTTCTGAATGATATTCAAGCATATATTCGACGTGCTCTGAACTCACCTATCAAAATCACAATCTATACCTAACAAAATGATTTCTCCATAAACCAGTGAGTGAACAGCGGATTCAGTTTGGTGTCCATGAGGAAGCCGGAGTCTCAATGTTGACTCCCCGCGAACACTGCTTCCTTGGTTATTGATCCGGAAGTCCAACTCTCATTGACCTCCCTCCCTCACTCCCTGCATTAGATGGAGAGGGGAAACAAAAAATCACCGCACAATTGAAATTGCTAAAACATCCCATAGGTCATATATTTTTGTGTTTGTAACAGTTAAGATGTGTATTCATCGTAAGTATTTCAGATTGCCAAGTTCTTCAAACAGAATTACACATTTATCCCGCGATGTTTCGCACACAATTATGCGGAAAACATAGTGCACTGAATGTGTACAATTCACGAGAGAATTTAACTGAGTAACCCTGAGGGAAAATGAATAATATATTGCTTAAATAATTCGCTAATCAAGGAAGCATATCATAAGTTAAAAATGTTCAATACTCAAACCCTTTGAAATGACAATAGGCTTTAAGGGAATACTGATTTTATTAGGCTTGTGAGTTTCTTTACAAAACAAGCAGTCTCTTACATATTCGAATGTATGGCTTTATGGCTTCATCAGGCATTGTGATGGAATAAATGTTCCTACCCATAGCTACCGATATGCAAGTATGATTGATGGTGGAAACTGAAATACATTTTTAAATTTAAGGTCTTCTCTCATGACTTAGATCAACACTTGTGGTTTTCTACCGGAACACGATTGATAAAACTAAGTAATCCGTTACTCTCATCCACGTAATCCGTTTTGTGAGCATATTGTCATATCTATAACAGTTCGAACGGTTTGTATTATCCGTATTGTTATAGGTCAACTGAAGTTACTAATGTTCAACTGAAACTAGGTCGAGCAATTTCGATGTTCCATTGAAGAGGCGGGTAGCTGTAATAAGTTTCATGTAAATACATACATATGGATGGTGAGTCTGTTCCTTCACTGAACATTATGAAGTCCTATCTATGACCGGTTCTGGTTTTTGTTTAAAGTCTGAGAATGAAGAAGATAGTGATTCTAACCACAGGTGATCTAGGCTGAGTGGTAACATCGCCAAATTATCGCCTCGGAGGATGTGTGTGGATGTTCAAATCCCATCACTACAACCCGACTTTCTCCATTCTATGTGTTGTAAGGCAGCCGTTTGATTATCCGAGTCCCCCTTCCTGACGAGCGTATCACTGTTTATTCCAGAAAAGGATGTAAAAAAGAAAAGAAATACCGAAATACCGGTCCACAACCGATAAATGATCTGATCAATCAATGATAATTTGTTCATAAGCTTGGTTGCAATTTACCAGAGTATGATAAAAGTGATTGAGATAACATCAGCAATTTCGTAAAATTCCCTGCAACTTTACGCATTTCGAGTACGTCTTCATCTAGTTATTCACATGATACAGACATTTTGATTCAACTCAACCCTGCACCGAACACATTACACTCGTCCCATTACGTGCTACTGTACTCGAACTCTCTCACCGCACCCGTTCATATTTGTCTCCATTACTCGTAACTGTTCATTGTCCCATGATTGACCTGTGGGTCGACGCACCACCATCATCGTTTCATCTGAGCCCCCCCCCCTTCACACGTTGACATGACCTGTTCGCACTCCTGATTGTAGTGATTCTCTAGCATGTCCAAGCTCTGATTTGTCTCCCTCTCTCACACTCACATACACACTTGGGTAGAACCTGCAATACCGTACAACCGTCTGATTCATACTTACGTACGCACACACATGAACGACAATCTCGCCGTGGTTGTTCCTCTCATAGTTCTTGACCTTGAACTTGATCGACTGACAACTGGTCTCTCATATGCATGTGCACGAAATTTGCCCGATTGATTGTTGTTCTTGCCTGACACGAGACGTTTGATTATCTCGTTAGTTCCGTTGTATTGACTTTATTTCACGGTTTTCCACTGTTTCTTTATTCTTCTACCCGATTGTCCCACAGTTTAAGGTATGCTTACTGTACATTTTATCATTTATCTGCACATTTGTGTTGCGTACCGTACTTTGATAAACCTGCTTTGATACTTGTGGGTTTCACCTGTCACTCTATCGTGGATTTTATTGATACGCTGGAATTAGTAAGGTGTAATAAAAATTGATGCAACGGGTTCTAGATGAACCGTTCGTGTTCCCGTATATATGGCAACAGAGATAGTGTATTGTTCGAATTTCTGCCTTCGCTGTTGATCAAGAGGTGATGAGGTTCTCTGGAGCAATAATCCATGCAATTAAGTTTGATCAATCAGTCGAATTATTTATTGATCAGAGTCCAGACAATGTTACATTTTGCTCCCATCAGAGGCCCTAGGCTATGACATATTGTGAAAGGACAGGAAGGGGGGAAATAAAGAACGTTTATGCATCACAAAGTGACTCCCCTAACAGTGAACAATTGTAGATTTACCTGCACACCAGTAGTCGACAAATTTGACATCTCATTTCAGAACGCTTGCCAACATCTTCCGTATGGAGTCTAACAGTTTGGCTTTTCTATCACTTTCTCCATCCGACATTGCAAATTTGACATCAATGTCCAGTATATATATATATATATATATAGTCTATTCCATTTTCTGTTAAAAACACAAGACAACGTTTGATCCAATGGAGGCTCAGTGTATTGAGTAATAACAGAAAAAATCTGAACCTTGTAGTAGCATATCTCTCTCGAAATCTAAATCTAAATCACACACACAGAGAGCCTAGTACAATCACCGAAAGCGGCTGTAAATTCCACTTTCCCTGCAGCTAAACTTAGACCAGTATTCTGTACATCGCCGGTAATGCGAATGCAACTGACCTCATTCATGATAATTTACTCTTTTAAGTACGTCTGTGGCGCATGTTACATGGGTGGTACGGCAAGGTGTTTGTCTCAACGTGTTACGGAGCACCACCCGCGATGGTTGAGTCAGGGAAAAATCGGCTGTATCTCAAGCGCCACTGTGGGGCATCTCGTCGACACCGGGCACAAGATCGAACGGGAGAAAGCTTTTTCGATGTGATTTATCGCATCCCAATCAATCGCTCGAGGGTGACCCTAGTTTGGACACTAGCTATGGTCACTTACTAGGTAGGCCCCAGCCTGTGTGCCCAAAAGCGATTGGTACAGTCGCTCCAATTGCCTTGGCCGTGTATGAAAACCAGGAGAGAACATGACGTGTCACTTGACGCAAGTGAGGGAAAGGTCACATCAACTAACACGTTAAACTCTCCTACACACACACACACACACACACACACACACTTCCATTACTCTCCACCTCCGAATATTGACTTTAAATTGAGCCAATGGCTATG